GGTAAAGAAACCCTGTGTGATTTGCTTTATGTTTGTCTCTGTCTCCCTTCTTGAAACTTGAATTACTGGCTCGGTCTCATTGAATTACAGTGTCTCTCGACCCTCACGGCGGTATAGCCACGTACTGGGAGTTAGACCACCTGCGTTTACGCCTCCAGAGAAACTGGGACAAAAGTGCACTGTTGAAATGCTCTTTTGGGAAAGCATCACCCATGTGTCCTGTCTCCCCGCTTAGGCAGTCAACACTTTGAGAAGAGGGACCACATCCTCTGGGGTGTGGTTTTGTGGCCTGGGAGATGACAGCGTCCATCTGTCCAGCTCATGAGTGGGCCATGATGAGCCAACACTGCCCAGGCGGAGGAGCAGTGGGTGCGGGACGGAGGGACGGGCGCTTCCTATGCCCGGTCCTGCCATATGCCCTTCAGACCCACCTAAGGGGGCCACAGCTCTCCACCAGCCATGGCAGGGCTGGGTCCCTCCCTGCCTCCTGTCCATAACACAGCCCTGGAGCACCCGTCTAACTTTTCTGTGCCACCCCCTACCCATCTGGAAATGAGAATGTGTACTGCTCCAGAGGGGTTAAAATAGAAAACTCACACTTGCTGTTCCAGGGAACAGCAGGACCGGCTGTGCGTGTTTAGACAAGACGGGGAAAGGCAGCATCTCCCTTTGGGCAAGATCTTTATTCCTGGGACTTTGAGGAGCTCGGCGGGTGGGGCAATGCTGAAAAGTAGCCAAAGAGGGCCTGATTTAATCACAGCAAAACCCAGCACCTTCCAATATTTCCAGTTAGATATTATGACCCACAGTTGTGTCATAAAAGTGAAACTGACATGCATTTATCCTAAAAGCAAAGCGATTGAAATCACTTGCTCCTGAGAATCTTTATTCTTGTTTTGTCTTGTTCTGCAACAGGTTTGGGGATGGTTCACAGAGGCCTCCTCAAAGCCATGTGGTCTTTTTGCTTTTTAAGTAGTAAGAGGAAGACAAAGTACAGGAGCAGTAAACTGAATATTGAGAAGTCTGGGAACAAGTATCAGTGTTGAAATCAAATGAAACTTACTCCGGAGTGAGTGAGACACACCCAGGGATACATCAACACCAGGCCGAATGGTAACCGGGCATAACAGATCACCACCTCCTCTACTGTCGGAGGTGGGGAGGTGACCGCCCTGTCCCCAAATCCAGCATACTCTCTCTTACCTGCTGCCTTCCCTCATGTGGCTCACCCCTCACTCTTCCCTCCTGCCAGTTCTTGCAAGGTCTGTCCTCCTTCCTAGGCTTCACTGATTTCCATCTTCCTCAACCTCCCAGCCGAGTCCCAGGGCCTCATTCTAATCCAAGCACATGCTCAGCTGCTAAAACCCCTACACAGGTTAACGCAGATAACCAGCCACCCAGGGCTTGGCCCCTCCCATGCCCAGCCCCAGCGACAGGTGCATCTCCCCACCATGGGAGAGCAGAGGCGACATGGCTAGTGAGGGCAGAACTGGGATTCAAGGTCAGGTTCCAGAGCCTGTCCTCACGTGCGTCTTACATCATAAATTATATACCCCCTACCTGGCCTTCAAGGTCTATTTTGGTGACTCTTAGACTTGTTTTATCTCCCTGGGGAGAACTTATCCATGAAGGTGGGGGCAGATCTTTCCTGTCCTCACATTAATATGGGCCTAGTCAGTGACCTGCATTACCTTATCCTATTTCTCTGAAATAGAGATATTGTGTATAAATTGAAATTTAATATTTTACACTTTACTCCAAGTGTGAAAAAAATCCCTTCCGAACTTAGTATCACAATTATGACTGTAAAAATTTATACTAAAATATAAATTTTGACAATTATTAAGCATAAGATAATCTTATTGGAAATGTGTCTTTAACAAGATGGACTGGGGTGTGCATATTGACTTGAAGAAAGGCAGTTTCCCTGACATTCTATTTCAGTACTCCCCCAGAGGCCTTTACAGGTGGAGCAGGTTGCCCAAGTGCATTCCTGGCTCTGGCTAAGCAGGGCAAGGCCAGCAGCTGTGCAAGACTAGTGGTGCCCAGGCCTGAGCCACACACAGTGGGTTCTCAGACAGTCAGGTTTAGGAATGAGATGATGTTCTGGGCAGTCAAGGACTCCTGCAGAAGGCCCCTCAAATGCTCCCCCCTCTTCATTTTCTGCTCTGAAAACCCAGCCCTCCAAAGCAGGCTTGCTCCCCCTCCGGGCTCCAGACAAGATTCCTTTCAATCTCCTTACCCCCAAGCTGCAGTTCTCACGGGCTGGTAAATGCGGTGAGCTTATTTGCAAGCCAGGGTCATATCTGCTTGGCAACCCAACATGAAGACTAGAAGTTCTACAAATGTTGACAGAGACCAGGCAGGCCAATTTTGCACAAAGGAATCTGTTTTCATGCAAATGACCCTAAAGGAGAAGACTAGAAAAAAGAGCAGTGGGGATGGTTCTCACAGCCAATTGATTTCCAGAGAAGGTGCAGAGGGACTTTTTAAGGGCATCATTACAGCCCTGCCCACTGTAAGTGAAGGGCCAAGGGGCTCTGCTGTCACTTGGCTGCCACAGGCACAACAGAGAGGCTAAGAGGGGAGATGGGCCCCTTACTTAATTTCGTGATTTTTCTGGTTCTCTACTCCAGACTCCAAGGGTTCTTTTATTCGGGTTTAGAACTAAACAGGGGTAGTTTTGTTTGGGGAGGTGATCACCATGGCAATGCAGTGCCTTCCCTGGAGGACTGAAATAAGCAGAGGTTTTCACGCTTGATCTCACTAGGATTGAGGGAACGAAGTGAGGGCAGCCAGCCTCAAACCAGGCGGGCACAAGTCACTGGTTTGTGGCTGGCAAGGCTGCATTTTCCAGCCAACTCGCTGTTATCCAAACACAGGTGGCACATGTAATCTTCAGATGAGCTCTCCTTGCAAAATGGGCCAGAGTGTATCTGTAAGTGTGAGAAACCCTGGGCAGATCCCTCCAGGGCTCTGTGCCTCAACAGTTCTCATCTAGAAAATGGGGATGAGTGTCGGCTGCTGAAGTCTGATGATGGGGCTAAAATTAGGTCACATGTAAGGCACTTAGTAAAATGTTGGGAACAAAGCAAACCTGTAAAAATTAATTACAATATTAATTAAAATAATATGGATAATGCCTTATTATTATTATATTATTACAGTTCTGTCCCCACAACAGCCAGTTGTTTCACTTTTGGTGATTACAATCAGTTTCCACATATTGTTACGTGTGGATTCTTCACAAAACTGAAAAAAGGATCGCTTGCAGGGTCTTTGAGGAGTGGGGTCTTTGGGCTTGGTGAGCCATAAATAACAAAACAATGAGACCTAAGGGGTGCCCAGAGCTAGCCATATGCCAGTCACTTCCATCTGAAATTTACAGGCATCAAAAATTAAACCTTTCCATTCTGGGAGCACCACCATCGTTCCCACTTTACAGATTTGGAAGTTGACGCTCTAAGTTGAGTTACTCCAAGGTTGCAAAGCTCATGGGCGGCCCCCGGCTGTAGAGCACTGGCCCTAACAACACACTGCACCAGCACACCTGCCCCCACCTAGCTCACGCCCCAGCTCAGCAACTGCACAGAAAGGCATTTAACCCAGTTCACACCACCCCCAAATCACCAAGAAAACCAGGCAGCCAGCAAAGACGGGTTTTTATCAAAATTCACATCGCCCGTTCTTCCTTGTGGCGACCCTCCGCGCACGCATTCTCAGGCTAGGTCTCCCGGTTTTGACATGAGAACCACAATATCCGAACCCCAACCGAGGCGGCTGGGGAATGCGGAGAACAAGGCCTTTGCCTCCGGGCAGGTGCCAAGTGGGTCCTGGGGTCTGAGGTGGTCACCGGGGAGCACAGTCTGCGTCCCCGCGGGCTCCGAAACGCCTGGGGCCCGGCACACCGCTTTGTCCCCAGGACGGTTCTTCCCTGAGGTTTCCCGAGCGCACTCTCTGCTGAATTCCCGGTGCCCTCGGGGTGCGGGTCCCTCTGCTACACGGGGCGCCCCGCGAGCGAGGCGGCCGTGCACCTGTGCGGACTTGGGCTCGCGCCCCAGGGCGGTCGGCGTGCGCCCCCGGCCGGGGAGGCGGACTCAGCCCCGCGCTCACATCCCTTCGCTCAACGCGGATGCTGCTGCTGCGGAAAAGGGGGGAAAGCGGGGCGCTCTCGGCAGCCCGGCCGCCGGCTCCCTGGGGCCACTGCGGCACTCCCCCCCCCTCCCGGGACGGGAACTGCGGGGTGCAGGAGTTGACGAAATTGGGGGAAGTTGGCCCTGGAGGAGGAACTTGGGGACCGCGGCGCCGCGCGCGCGCGCAGCTCACACTCAAACTGGAAAGAACCTGTTCCGCCTGCGGAACCGCTACAGCCGCCAGCGCCGCCGGGGACCATCCCCGGCGCCCCTCATCCTACACCCCCCAAATCTCAGGACGCGGGGCGGGTTGGGCGCGCAGAGGGGCAGCTTGAGAAGGGAGACGGCCCGGGCGCGCTGGCAGAGAGGGCGCAGACGCCCCCAAACAAGTCCGCGTTCGCTAAGCACGGTGCGGCAAAGCGCCGGGGTCCGCTCGGGTCAGGCGCGCAAAGCCGCGCCCGGT